TATTTAAAAAAGAGGTCAAGCTGGCTAGGGTGCAGATTAGTGGTCCAGTACTTATTTAATGAGGTCCTTGATTTGATTCCCAGCACCATACACCCACCCACACAAAATATTGTATGTTAAATGGAATTCTAAACTGTTCAGAACAGCCAGAATTGAGTACTGGGGTATCAATCAGGAGGAGAATGCATAAACCAGGCAGCTGGCAGCACTCAGGCCCAAGAAGGCAGAGGTCAGAACACCTGAAAGCAGAACAGAACAAGGGTTCTGTGAATTCTAAGCACTTACCCCATTCCCTGTTTGAAAGCTTCAATCAACTCATTCTTTTTATTCTGATCTTCTACCCAGTACATACTTGGAATGACAAACTCAGATATTACTCGGCATTCTGGACAAGACCTGAAATAAAATGGGGTTAGTAAGGGAGAAATGCTACTATGAGGTTTAGGAATGGGACCTCTGGAGCAGCCCAGACACACTTACTTAATGATCTGGTTTTCGAACTGCTTGGCACAGCGCCACTGGCGGATACAGGACAGGCAGTAGGTGTGGTTGCAGCTAGACAGGATCCCAAACCTCCTCTCAGAGGCCGATGCCTTCTCGAGGATCACCTCCATGCAGATGCTGCACACCTTGTCCTGGCTCGCCTGGAAGGCAAAGGCTTTCTCCATCTCGAACTCAAAGGTTGCCATGCAGACCTGTGGCAGACAGTAGGAGGGGCTCAGGTTAAGGACACCAACATGGCCTGGCTGCCATGAGTGAGGCCAATTTAGGACTTGGCTCCTTATCAGACTGCAACAAAGGCCACCTTGCTCTGCTCCTTGTTTTCCTAGTTGGACATAGCCACCTCTCATTTACAGCAGAGATCTGGAAAGGTTAAGAGGACAGCCTTGAAAGCAGGGAGACTGTAAGGAACTGAGATCCTGTCTCCTGGCCTCTGGGTATACCCTCATCCCCCTAAATTTTAAAAGAGGCCTGAAGCTGAGGGCAGCAGCACAGTACTCCCTGAGAACACTGCCCAGAACTCAGGCAAGGTCATGAAGCTGACTGGGAATGAACAGTGAGCCAGCTCAGGTCTGCCCAAGGGCATAGTGCAGAGCTCCCATGCCTGGCTGTTCCTACCAGAGGGGCCTTCTCTTGTGAAACAGCCACACTGCTTGGCCCCTCAGCAGCATTTAGTCTTCCTTGCCTTATGTAATGCATCTCACATTGTAGCCCACAAGCCTCTAACCTCTTTAGAAATCCTGTACCAGTCACAGGACCTAGCGTAAGACAGAGCTTTCAGAGATGCTAGGGCATGTATAATAAAGAGTCCTGCCAAATTCCTCACAACCTCCAAAACTCAGCCTGCCTGGACTCTAGGTACAACAAGGTATGGACATGAAGGCTGGACATGTGCATATATCCCCCCAAATGCTGAGCTTCTTTGGTTCATGGCAGTGGTTTACATTTCTGATGACTATTTCTTTTTTCTTTATTCTAAATAATCCAAAAATGACAAAATGACACAATAGCATTTTTAAAACCCCTGAAAATAGGATGTAAATATATCAGGGACACAGCACAGGTGTGTCTTTCTGGCAGAAAGATGGCTGTAGAACCAATTAGTGAGTTCATGTCAAGGGCTACGTTACCTTCTCATGAGCTCTCCTCTGCTCTGAGTCAAAAGGGTGCAGAACTTGGAGCCTGCAGATGTCGCACATATCCCCATGCAGGTAGACACAGGTGTCCCCAAAGCGGCACTCGCCAGCTGCAGCGTATGGGCACAGTTGATGCTCACTGCTATAGGAACTGCCAGCCTCCACACTATCAAGGCCACTCCTAATGGCATCCAGATAGGAATGGGGCTTCATCTCGGGGCCAGGCTGGGGGTCGCTGTAGCCAACTGGGTGACTTGGAGCCATGCCTGGGGTTGTTTTTTCTTCAGCCAGGCCGGAGAGATCTTAACACAGAATGAACCATGCACACATGAGAACAGGTCATTAGCCAAACCCAACAGTCAGTAACACTGGCCCAGAGAACCCACTGTTGGGGAAAAGACAGCAAAAAATCAGGGCAAAAGGGAATAAAAGATAGTATCACTTTAATAATGAAAAGGTAAAATACACACATGGTGAGGCAAGGAAAAGAACAAAATAGAACATGATATATTTATACAAAAGAATACTTACTATTCTTTTTGAAATGCATAGAAATGTGAAAACGCATAGATAAAAATGTGAACACACAGACTAGTTACCACCCCGAAACCTAAACCAAAGAGAATTTAGGATGAGGTCAGGCTTCCCTGTGCACCCCTCCCCCAGAGCTTCTCACTTGCAGATGGACTAGTAACTCCTGCTGAGGACAGAAGCTGCCTATTCAGGGACTAGAAAGGGCCAGGCAATGAAAACAGCTTGTACCATCTGTGTATCCTGGGGCACAGCATACTCCAGCCTTGACAGGCTCTCCTGTGCCCAAAGCCATGATCCAGACCCTCAACAGGGTAGCACATGTGGCACCAATACTGCACAATCTCAAGAGTCAACAGTGAAACCCAGTCTTTAAATACACAACTTCAGGGCCAGCAAGATAGCTCAGTGGACTAAAGCACCTGCTTAGGCAAGCACAGGGACCTCAGTTCAATCCCCAGCACCACATGCCATGTCAGCCCTGCCCCCACAGCAGATTGAGCTGGCCAGAGTCCAGGCATGGTGGCACACCTGTAATCCCAGCACTGGGGAGGCTGAAAACAGGAGGATCACCCTGAGTTGGAGCTGCATAGTGAGAACCTGTAGCAACCAAATGCGTTAAAAATAATAACAAATATGCAGCTTCGAAGTGAGTAGCTTGGTGTGGCCTCCTCACTGTGAAGATGGCAATGACACTGTAAAAAGACCATGTCTTGTGTTTGGGCAGGCCAAGCATGACAGCCACATGGGCCTAGGGCATCAGGGTCAGAGTGTCTTGATGGGAGAGGCCAGCACAGAGCATCAAGCACAGGCCCATTGTGTCTACTGGACAGCGGGACCCTGCTCACTCACTCCGGTCTCTGAGCACCAGCGTCCTCTTCTCCCGACGCCCAGGCTCTCTGGATGGTATTTTTATGGCAGCTGTGGTGAGATCAGAAGGCAGGGGAGGACACGGGAAGGCTGTAGAGGGCCGAGTCGGGGGTGGGGGGCCCACAGCCCCCCCAGCTGCAGCTGAGGGCCTTGTGTGATCGTACCTGAAAAGAACATGGCAGGAGTCAGCCTCGTGCAGCACACCACACCCCAGCCACCACTAGCGCCCCCATGTTTCCAACAGTAGTGGGGATGAGAAGCATCAACGCTAGGCACTGCTTGGCCACTGGGGAATGAGTGTACACGTGCTACTGGCCACTACACAAGTGTCCATAGGACAACCCAGGAGTTTCAGCTTAGCTCAACCAAGAACTGAGCTGAAATTATGTATGTGGCTGGCAGCCACCATGGAGTGAAGGTGGCTTACCACTCAAGACCCCATCAGCTCACACCCTGCTGCACTTAGTGGTTGTAAAACTCGCCAGACGTGGCTTCAGGAGTGAGTGCTCCTGCCGGAGCATTGCTGCCAAGGCCATCCACACATCTATCAAGGACAGCTCATCATCAGTATAAAACACTACAAAATAACTGTGAGGAGATAAGAGAAACAGCATGGACAAAAGCTTAGGACACATTTATGGGGCAAAAAAACAAAATTTTACTTATTCATAAGAATAGGGCCTGAAAAATTGCATTGAAAATTAAAAGTAGTTTTAAGAACTGAAACAACTTTTCAAATTATTTGTCATTTATCTGTAATGTCTTGTTTCTCAGAACTGTAATTCCCCTCCTGAGGACCCACATTCCACACATGTGGGAGCCCAGAACAATGAATCCTTGCCTGCAGCGTGTCCCATAGGCACAGCAGCCCTTTTGGTAGTATTTGCAGATGGTGGACGGCTTGCTGTTGGCCAGGTCATGTGAGAACAGGCACTGGTTGCCCTCTCGGCACACTCCATGCATGAAGTACCTGCAGAGACAAGCAAGGCATGCTGTTTACTGAAGGCACCCACACCCATGTCAGCATACTCTCAACCCACAGCTCACTGCATGGACACCGGGTCAGGCTGCATTGGGCTCTTGACAGAGACAGTCCCTGATGCTAAGACAAAGGGACTGTAGGTGCACCACAATGACTTCATGACAGCTTTTCTGGAAGAAAAATAAATGGTCCCAGGAGTCTTTATATCAAGATACAGCCTCCTGATTTCAGATGTGATACATATGTAGAATGTGAGCCCCATAATTGAGAAAACAGGTGTTTTTTTTTGTTGTTGTTGTTGTTTTGTTTTTTGTTTTATTGAGACAGTGTATAATTCAGGCTGGCCTTGAACTCACTATGTGACCCAGGCTGGCCTCAAGCTCACTGACATTCTCTTGCCTCAGCCTCCCAAGTGCTAGGATTATAGGTGTGTGTCACCATACCTGGCATCAGAGCTCTTACAGGGTACTGACTCCAATGCAGTCAGACCTGGACTCATCATCCAACTCTGCCAGTCATCACCAAGTCACAAAACCAATTCCCTTGTCTTTGCTACCTTATCCAAAACATAATTTTTTTTTAAAAAAATCTTATTTATTTGTTTGTTCATTTATTTCATACAGGGTCTCCCTAAGCAGCTCAGACTCATAGTGATTCACCTGTCTCAGCCTCCCCAGCGCTGGGATTACAGGTATGTACCACCATTCCTGGTTTTGGTGGCCAGCACAGATCGAACCTGGGTCCTTGTGCTTGTCAGGCAGGCATTCAGACCACTGAGCTATCTCCCCAGCCCAAAACACGATTATATTATCTACCTACATTTTATCAGACAGTTGTGGTGAGAATCAAGTACCAAGACAGCCTGGCAACAAAAGCTGTATATGAGAATGTTTCACTGAGAGACCAAATCTGGTCTAGAATAATGAGAGTACAAAGTGACTGGGAGGCATTCTAAATCGATTCAACTGACAGTTGGCTGAATACTCAGGGGAAAATGAAGAGACCCCACAAGGATATATCTTGGCATGAAGGTTAAGCTAGTCCTGAAATAAAAGAGCATTTCAGACCTGCTAAACACTGAAAAGAGTCAAACCCACATATTGTCTGATTCCATTTACATGCAATGTTTAGAAAACACAGAGCTACAGTCTACAAAGTAGACTGAATGGTTGCTGAGGCTAGGACAGCACCAAGGATGAATGATTGCTAATTGCACGAGGGATCAAGGATATAGCTTAGCAGCACAGTGCTTGCCTGGCAAGTTCAAGGTCCTGAATTCGATTCCCAGTGCTCCCTGACCCCCCAAAAACCAAGAAACAAAAGATCTTCTGGGGTATTAAAAATATATTAAAATTTAACTGAGGTAATAGTACTAAAAATCTTTGCATTCTGTACTTCCAAGAGGCAATTTTTTTGGAACATAAATTATACTTCAATAGAGTTGTTAAAAAAAAAGAAAAAAAGGTCCTATGACAGGCTAGTTGATGTCTTACTTTTCTCTTGCTGCTGGGACAAAATATCTGACACCCAAAATTAAGGAAAGAAAGCTTTCTTTAGCTCACAGTTAATGGAGGTTTCAGTCCATATTTGGCTGGCTCCAAGGCCAAGTGGCACATGGCAGAGAGCAGCAGGTCATAGTGGTGGAAAACCGCAAAGAGAAAAGGCAAAAGGGAGGAGCAGTGGCAACAAGTGCAACAGAGAGCAAGTCTGTCTTTCTTATGTTGCATTTAGGTTATCTGCCCCAGGCTGGGTGTAGCACTCACACTCATAATCCCAGAAGCATTCATATCCATAATCTCAACACTGAGTCATGAATTAGTCACAAATTCTAGAAGTCTGCCCCATTACTTCATGAGGCTTTTGGGGAACACCTTGATACAAACCATAACAATAGACATAATAACCAGATGCAGAATTCAGTTCTAGATTCTCTTCTAGTTCAGACAAAGCAGAAACAATTGGGAAGATGTGAGTATTGGCTAGGTATTAAGTAAAGTCAATGACTTAACTGAAAAGAATATAATAAAAGCACATGCACAATAAAATGGTACAACTGCTATGGAAAAAAAAGTTTACAATATATTTATCTTATAGTCTAGCAATTCCACTTCTGGGTATTCATACAGAAGAATCTTAGCCAGGTATGGTGGTGCACACCTGTAATCCCAGAACTTGGGAGGGTGAGTCAGGAGGATCATTGCAAATTTGAGACTAGCCTGGGCTACAAAATGAGCTGAAGGCCACCCTGAACTGCATAGTGAGACCTTGTCTCAAATAAAGACAAAAGAAAGGAACCAAAGGCAGTACTGTTTCAATTTTTATATACCCATGTTCACCATGTTCATACAGCAACATTAATCACATAGCCAAAAGACGCAAGCAATCCAAGTGTCCACAGATAGATAAATGGATAAACTAGTAGTATAAGTATGTAACAGAAGCAGCCTTAAAAGACAGTCTGACACAAGCTATCACATCAACGAATCTTGAAGAACATCATGCTACATGAAATAAGTCAGTCACAAAAATACAAGTATTATATAATATCAGCTATAGAAGTAGAGTAAATCCTCCATTTTCAAATGAGTTCTGTTCTGGGAAAATATTTGTAAGTCAGATTCATTCATAAGTCTGACAAAGTGAGTATTATGCCATATCTGTGAAAGTTCACAACTCAGATGTTTGTCTGTCAGGAATTTCCTGTACCTAGATTAGTTAAATGCACAGAGATAGAAACTAGCATGATAGTTGTCAGAAGTTGGAAAGAACAGGGTAAGGCAAACTGTTATTAATGGGTATAGAATTTCACTTTTGCAAGGCAAAGATGTAGATTTGATTACACAATAATGTGAATGTACTCAACTATAAACTTCAAAAATGGTTAAGATGGTGAAGTTTATGTTACTCCATGTAGTTTGCACAATAAAAGTTTTTAAGCCAGCATATAAGTAATGGGCCATTTTGAAAAAAGAATAAAAAAATGTTTTGAATTATGTATAAGCACTTAAAAACTCTCATATATAACAGTGTGTTAAAAGAGTGGTGATCCCTGAGGGTTAGTATATACTCTTTTTTGTGTTCTTGGAGTGTTAGGGATGGAACTCAAGACCTTGTGTATGGTAGGCAAGTGCTCTACCACTGAAGCGCATCCCCTGCACCTGGTATAAGGTATTTTTGTCTTAGTTTTGAGGATTTGTACATTCTAACATTTCTAACATGAGCATATATTGCCTCTGTAACACTACGTATGGCTTTAGTTTTAAAAATAATGACAATCAACTTAAGAATATAATTTTAACATAGTACATAAAATGTTCAGTATAATACCCAGCCCATAATAGTACCTGTTAAGAGTTTGGATCTGCAATGTCTCTCCTCTTTCTTCTCCTTGTCCTCCCCCTCCTTTTTCCCCTTCTCCTTCTCTCCCTCCCTCCCCTCCTCCCCTCCTCCTCTTCCATCTGAAGTGAGCAGCCCTGCCCCACCCTGTCCCAGAGGCCATGCTGCTCTGCCCATCACAGGCCCAGAAGAGATAGAGCCCTCTGAAATAGAAAATGTTAGAGGATGGGCAGGGAAAGGTAAAGTCCTTAGAGAGTGTTGGGGGGAGAGGAGAAGCATCCTGGCCCCACCGGGCCCTAATTTGCCCCAGTTAAGTACAAAAGAGACAAAATGGGAAGGGGGGTGTAATTACAGAAAACTCACTATATAAGATTTACATTCATATCTGCACATGTATATGTACACACTCATATATATTCTCTCACCATAGTACTGCACTAAAACAACATGTACCCTTTACTAACTGCCAACTGGGCCTTGTATATGAAGTCCATCATAAATCTTAAGAGACAGCACCTTGGCAAGACAAAAAAGACCAAATGAGGGGCCGGGGAGATGGCTCAGTGGAATAAGTGCTTCCCTGGCAAGTGCAAGGGCCTGAGTTCAATCCCCAGTTCTGGAAAAAAAAAAAAAAAGAAAGAAAAGAAAAGAAAAAAAAAAGACCAAATGAGCTCACGCAAATATATGCACATAGGCAATGGGGGAGGGGGTGTCAGTGGCCAAATCAAGAGTCTCAGCCTGAAACAGTTAATCAAGTTACAACTCTTAAGGGGTAGGGTGTCTTTTTTTTTTTTTTTTTTTTTGGCCATATAATAATAAGGGCCAAGAACAAAGACTCTCAAGGATAGGCTCCAGGCTCCCTACCTTATTCTGACAAGATAGCTGTCTATCTCATTTCTCTTTCCAATAAAGTGACTTTGTTTCTCCTTTTAAACTTGTAGCTCTAATTTTTTATTTATATAAACTTATGATTCCCAGATAAATACCTTCAGATCAAAAAATCCAACTTGATCAAAATGAAGTTTTCCTCTTTTTCAACAGTTTCTGAGGGTTTTGATTATTTTTTCATGGTAACGGACACTAAACCTAGGTTTCACACACATGCTAGGCCAGTGCTCAGCCATTAAGCTATAGCCCAACCATATAAAACTTTGAGATGAAATCTTGGGCAATTTGTCTCAGCTTCCTAGGTAGCTGGAGTTAAAGATGTGTGCCACCATGCCCAGTTCTTGTCACAGCAATTGTCAAAAGCTACCACAGCACTCAAACATGTGGGGCTCTTACTCAAGAGCAATGGACACTGGCAAACTGTTTAATGAATGTGGACTCACACTGGGAAATGGAAGAGACAGAAACTAGGGCTGTAATCCCAGCATAGTGGTGCATGCCTGTAATCCCAGCACTCAGAAAGGTGAGGCAGGAGTATTACTATGAGTCTGAGGTCAGCCTCAGATATATAATGAGTTTAAGACTACTCTGGACTATATGAGACCATGTCTCAAAAGCAAACTAATAAACAAACAAAAAATAAAATAACAGCAACAATAAAAAAGAAAACTACAAAAAACAAAAGGGAGAAAGAAACAAGGGCTGAGGGAGATTAGGCCATAGTCTTACAGAAGGTGAAAGGAGATGGCACTGGGAGAAGTATGTGCTAGAGAGCAGATAGACTCCAGGGACAGGGTTGGGGTGGGCAAGAGTCCCCTGCCTATCCTGAAACACCCTGGTGCCAGAGCCTCAGAAAAAATAAGGCATGAATCCATGAGGAAGCTGTGGGGAGCAGAGTAAGCACTTAAAGCACACTGTTCCCAGGACACTGGCTTGAGCTGTGGTGACAGCCCAGAGAGCAGGAAACCAAAAAGAAGAGCCACTATGGGGTTGTGAAACTCCCTACAAGGGAAGGGACATTACAAAGCCTTATCTGTGGGGCTGGAGAGATGGCTCAGTGGTCTAAAGCACCTACTTGGAACAAGCTTGGCAAAGCAGAGGGACTGTGGTTCGATCCCCCAGCACCACATGCCAGCCAGCCCCATCCCCCAGGTGGGCTGAGCTGGCCACACACACACACACACACACACACACACACTAAATAAATGTAAATAAATACACAAAGCCTTATCTGTGAGCCAATGTTTTAACTTATTTAAAAAACATAAGAGTTTTACACATCTACATAGTAGCCTGAAGGGCAGGCACAGCCCTGGGATACCTGGTCTTCCCTGTGCACCCCTCCCTCTGGGTGAGCTGGGTCCTGTTCTGCAAGGAGGGGACTTCACATGTTGTTGGGAAGGAGACTTGGGAAGGAGAGCAAGGGCAAAAGCAAAGACAAAGAAAGGCAAAGGCAGTCCTCTCCCTCTGAACGAGCCCATTAGGCATAATCTATGAAATAAGGAAAATACAAATAAGACAAACAGTAACTAAGTTCCAGTTCTGCTTAGCTTTCACTCCTTTATTTCATTTAACCCCGGCACTACTGCAAGGAGCAGTATTTCAACCCCATGATGCATATGGGAAGGTAAGGCTCAGAGAGGTGAGGGAAGTTATTGCCAGGCTCAGCAATAGCCTTGGTTTTTCCAGACAGCCCTGTGACCTTTCTCTACCAAAATCCACTCTGCCATTCATACTATGGCCCCTATCCAAAACACTGCACTCCGTTTTCCTTCCACTAATTACTATAATCCACTTATGGAACAGCATGAACATGGCTGATCCAAGAAATCTCCTTACATGGTCCAGCCCACAGGTATAGATCCTGGACAACAAGTGTTCTTGAACATGGCAGGGGACATCTGGTCTTTAAAACAGAAGGCCAGGGAATAGGTTTAGAAGGGAACTGGAACACAACTAAATGCAAGTGTATGCAGAAAGCCCAACCTTTCATGGCTTTGTCTAGATCTGGAAAGTTCCAGGTGCCAGGTAAGGAAACAGTCTCTAAGGACAACAGGAAGCCTGTGGAAATCTGGCCTGCCGATGTCTCTACAGAAAGGGACCAATGGACACAAGCAGCTGATGTGCTGTACAACTGGCCCTGATGGTTTCCTCAGCTGGACAAGCAAAACACTGTCCTTATCTACCAAACGAACCTCTCACTTGCTTCACCTCCTGGCCTCAAGGGAGAACTACTGACCAGGTCACCTGACAGCATCTTATGCCTTATTCTTTCTGAGGCTCTGGCACCACGGTGTTTGATAAAAGGGAATGATAAAAAGGCCTCTATGTCTGCTCACAGAGGCAATCACTGAGCCCACAACCAAGAGGCATGGCACTGTAACCTAGAATTACACTGTGGGCCATGGAGTATTTCTGTGAGGGCAGCCAGGCTTCCCATAAGAAATAGCCTCCTGGCACCTGACCACCAGTTCAGACACCATTCAGTGACTTGCTATAAGGCCAGGACGGGCTTACTTTAAAAACATGAGAGGTGTTGACGTAGCTTTGTGTAAAGCATTTGCCTGGGGAGCTGGTAAAGCTCTGCGTTTGATCCACAACACTGCCGAAACAAAAACTAACATTTTCAGGTGTTCAGATTCCTATCCCTGAGCTAGTCAGAGGCAAGCCTAAACCTGGCAGCTGGAAACTGGGCCTCAATCAACATTTCCCTTGAGGATGAAGAGCTGATGCGGCTTAAACTGTGTGAAACAATGTGGTTGATGCCATGTTCCTGCTTTTCTCTCTGGGGTTTGAAATTCTGCAACAGCCAGGCAAATGGGCCCTGCCTAACCGGCCTGGGCACTATTGCCGATGGGGTCCCCAGGCACACAGGCAGCATTGTCACTGCTGGGGGAAGAGCATACTGGGCGCAGGAGGAGCAGTATATACCCCACATCTCCTGCTATACCACTATAATCACTGTAACCTTAAATACATCTGAGTCCAGTCTTTCCAGCCAATTTCTGTAGGTAAGGGTGATACAGGAATCCCTGTCACAAAAGGATAGTATACATCTAACCAGTTTGATAATCTTGTTTGGTTTTCTGAAGAGTCTCACTATGATGCCCAAGCTAGCATCCATTTCCTGGCCTTGAGGGATTCTGCTCAGTATCTATAATGGCTGGGATGACAGGTGTACCTCATCAGGCAAGCTTTCAAATTCTTCTTGGGAAATGCTACTCAAGACAGAAATATTGTTTCAGTTGTCCTCAATAACAATAATCTTTGATCCTTGAAGGTATAATTATTAAAAACAAAAAACCCCCACAGTACCAATAGCCAAGTCTGCATGACAGAGAATCAGGATTGGTAAACTCAGCAACATGAGAGAACAGGTTCAAAATGACACATAAAGTTCCACAAAAAAAGTAACAAATATCTTACAGATGCCTACAGAAAAAAAAAATATATATATATATTTTTTCCAGAACCAAGGATTGAACTTAGGCCCTTGCACTTGCCAGGCAAGCGCTTATTCTACTGAACTATCTCTCCGGCCCCTAGACCTGGTTTTGAGAGAACCAGAGTGTAAGATACCAGAGGTCCTCCACCAGCCAGACTTGTTATCAGGCAAGTAACAGGAAGACTGTTCTAGGCATGTTTCAGTATCCTACAAGGTTTCCTCTTATTTTCACTCTCTCTCTCTCTCTCTCTCTCTCTCTCTCTCTCTCTGTATGTATGTATGTATGTATGTATGTATGTATTTGGTGCAGGGTCTCACTATATAGCTCAGACTCAGAGATTCTCCTGTTTTCAGCCTTCCAGCACTGGGATTATAGGCATGTACCACCATGCCTGGTTTCAGTGGCTGGCTCAGCATGCCCAGGGTGGCAGGTGGTCCTGGGATTGAACCCTGGTTGCTGCATTTGCCTAAGCAGGCGCTTAGTCCACTGTGCTCTTTTTTTTTTTTTTTTTTTTTTTTTTTTTTTTTTTTTTTTTAAGAGAAATGACTCAGTCAAGTTAACAAGCATTTATTAACTTTGACAAATTTAT